CATTCATATTTCTAAAGATCGACACTCAAAATTACAACATCGATGCTAATAAAACATTGACCTAAAGCCATCGAAGTTATTAAATATCGATGCCAATGAAACTGAATTAGTAACCATTGACATTCTCCCGGGGGGATTAATTTGAAAGTGATATCGTTTACTAATTTTTAATTGAGATTTAACTGATAAACAAAAAATCATTAGGATAATTAACAAACATTAATTATCTGATTCAATAATTCCAAAATAATTTTGACTTCTTATATGACGAATTCACGAATTTATTTGTTTTGCCCCCTTATTCACTTCGGTCTGAAGAATATTTAATTTATGGGTAACTGGAAATTATTATAGAATTTTGGTTTGAGTGACTTGATTCATATAAAAAATTTCGACTACTAACACATCTAATCCAAAACATCGATGTTCAAAACCACTGTGTTAAATATATCGATTACTTCATAAAAAATTGTTCTGTAATACATCGATGTTTTAAATTATTTTTGAAAAATTTTCATTATAATTTAGAATGGAAAAAATCTTTGCCAAAACAAGTTTATCTCAATATTTTATTTTATTCTAAGTGTTTAACAATAAATCAAGATCAACAACTCTAAACGACAAAAAAATCACAGATCTTGTCTCGTAATGTGATTTTGAATGACCAATGAGAAATGTGTCATGAAAATAGAAAAGATTCAGAAAAGTATATTTTATAAAAATCGTTGCAAGAGTTTAGCTTATAAGACATCTTGCAAAAATGATGGAGAGTTTTTGACGAATTAATAATAAATATTAAGTGGAGATCGTAGTAACTTAGTATTAAACTGTTTCGTATGATGAGTTATGATCCAGGGGTACGACTGGGTGGATTTTGGACGTCGAAAAGAAAAAAAATGAGTTCTGTACACAGCAGCGTTAAAAATGATCCTCGAGTACGTCTGTATGAAATAAACGATCTCGCTTTGTGTTAGATTATCGATTTGACCCATCTCCTATATTCAATACGCGAATGTTCGCAATGACGCGTAACTGAGCTGTACTCCTTTGCTAGTAGAAGTATTTAAGAAGAAACAGGAAAATAATTCCTGTAGTGTCTCAGAAAAGATGAATATTGTACCTCGCTTTGTAGTATTCTTTATGTTCTCTATGCCTTTAATTGTATCTTATTCACATGCACAATGGAATATGGAACTGACATCAGGAATAGTAAGAGCTGTTGCAAAGTACTTTTCTGCAGGTTGTATTTCTCTCATATACGCGGAGGACTGGAATAGCGGTAAGATAACCTTCATTTAAAATCCTATATTGACAGGTCGAAAAATTACAATGCTGTGCACAGTGAATAAACATTTAGTTATAAACAATCATATTTAGTTTTTTAATGACATATTAGTACGGTTGCTTTTATTTGGACGAGTATTAAGTGTTTTACTTCACCCCAAAATGTTAATCAAAAAGTTTAGGAAATTCATACCGAGTTTAGTTATTTATGTACGAGCCCTATAAGGTAGTCTTTAAGGACAAGACCGGTAGGTTCACTAACAACTAAGGTCCATTTGATAAAGAATTCTGCAAGAACATCAAGACATTGTACAACGGTGAATATGAATTCATCATACTATTGCAAAAACAAAATCATTGGAAATAGAGTTAATATTTACTATGTTGTGACCTTTACCTGCATTACTAATTTTCGATGCGCGCAGAATCGGAAAGAAAATCACGTGAGAGGTGTCTTTGGTCTCTTTAGATACCCAAGAGCTCGGGAAAAATCAAGAAACAATGAAACAGTTTTGATAGCTCGATATTTGCTGTTTACGTTTTGCGGAATGGAACAGCAACTTCTTTTGTATTCTCTGTATGCAAAGAATTGACATGTATGTACTATTCGACGTTGTTGTAATATTCGTGAAGATTGTTCTTGTCAAAATATTTCATTTATTGCTGTGTCATGGGAGGGTATTTTATTTACTCTTGATCAGTGCACTTACTACTTTTTTGGAAACCCATTTTGTGGGTTTTCGTTCAGCAGTATTTTTGATGCCGCAGGCCAATAGTTATTATTAATATTTTTTACACCATGCTTCCATTATTCTTTTCTTGTATCTTTGAACTTTGATAGTTATATCATACACCCACACACAAACTTACTCTAAGATACAATGTTGAGAAATTCCACAACAAATAACTAGTGAAATGAAAACTATTGGATCACAATTTATTGCCAGATATCAATCTTTCATTTTCATATTAAAATATTGTATAACATTTCTTTCAATAAAATAGGACGTGCTTAATTTAAAATTTCTAGGTAATTTAAGAAGGCTGAAGTTTACAATTTTTTTTGCCAATTGTGGTGGGAAACTTCAAACCACAAAGTTGCACACTTGACATTTGCCCCTGACTGTTAGGCAACTCCTCTTGCTCTGGTGTTCGGCGTATCACATTCTACGTCAAAGACATTTCGTGTACCAGGCGAATACCCTAGTAAATAGAACTGTCCAGCAACAAAAGCAAATATCACAAATGAAATTTTGAAATTTTCTGAAATTCTGAAATTTCTGTTTTCTGAAATTCCCTACCAAGTGTTCATTGTCAGAAAGTTATCACCGACTTCTACAAATCCCACGTTGAACAATCTATTCTCAGATCCAGGTGAAAGAGAGAAAGAGAGAGAGGGGGGAGAGAAAGGGCGAGAGGGGAGGGAGAGAAAGGGCGAGAGGGGAGGGAAAGAAAGGGCGAGAGGGAAGGGAGAGAAATGGCGAGTGAAGGATGAGAGAGAAAGAGAGAGAGAGAGAGAGAGAGAGAGAGAGAGAACGAAAGCGAATGAGACCGAAAGAGCGTGAGAGAGCGAGAGATATAGGCGCGAGTGAGAGAGAGCGAGAGAGGGTGAAAGAGAGAGCCAGCGAGAAAGAGAAAGAGAGAGAGAATGAGAGAGAGAAACATTAAAATCAATCATTCTTCGTCAGATCCATCATTCTAATTTCCGGTGAGCAGAAAATGCGAATTAAAAGGCAAGACAATGGTCTTAATCGTGACAATTATCTTCATTTTGAACTCAGTATGCGATGATAACCAGTTGTGATGATTCAAAATACACCAACCAACACTCTGCTCATGTGTTTAATATTATCAATACTACAAAATTACGTTATTTAATGATGTGAAAGATATCTAATAACAGTTGTGTATTATGAATAGATCTTATTGAAGCATGGAAATTGGTATATCTGCGCAAAAGCCTGGTAAACGTGAATATGTCTGTGTCAACTACATTAATTGAAAGAAGCATCCATTCACACAACTCATGTCGAAGCTGTCCTTCTCTCCAAGTGATACTTCCACCCTCCTCTCGTCATCTGAAGAACGTTTTACTCCCTGCTCAGGTTTGTAATACTATAATCTTTCTTCGTGTTGCAGAAATATCTAGTGGTTGGAATACACAATAATTCCCAGGTGTCCCACAAGGTCTCCAATAAATGCACTAAAAACTTCAGTTCAAATATTAAGAATGAAAATAACAACTGCATTTCATGTCTGAAGTAAAAACCTGCAAATTGGCCAATTATTTACGAACATGTAGAGAAAAAAATTAAAAGCATATTTGATCTCTAAGAGCATATTGAAATCAAATGTACAAGGGAAAACAAGAGACACAATATTCTTGATTTTTTCTTGATTATTCTCTACATTTGATTTTCAAGTAGACAGCTACCTTAAGCAGTCATGGTCCTAACGTTCTCCCAAGCACATTCTATGAAGTAAGAACATCTTTAAATAACGATGTCAAATTAATTTCGAATTTTTAAAATCAATAAATTTAAATTTAAAGAGCTTTCTCTGCCATTTTTATTTGCATATTTAGTATTTAGTCATTACTGATTTTAATAACTAACTCAATAATCCTTGGGGGAATTTATAATTATGAATTGAGTATCAATATACTGTGATACATAGGAAAGATATGCATGGGATAAACAATAAATATAAAAAACGTCGAAATTTGATGCTTTCTAACGTCTAAACCTCCTTATACTAATATTTCAATTATTTATAGATATCATCACCTGGCCCTGTATGGTTGTTTTTTCTTGGTAATGCTTCAATAGAAGAAATGGCTGACTTGTATGTTCCTATAAACTGCATAGTTGTCACTGCGTTTCTGAACAGAGATGTTATAGAATTGGTAGAAGTATATCAACCAACACATCATTTTCCTCTGCAAAGAAACCCTATTTTTGTGGGCAAGTTGGATGATTTATCACCTTCTCATTTAAATGTTACCATGGAGAGAAAAAACTACATTAAAGATATGTTTGGATTTGGATTAAAAGTCAGTGTTATTCATGTAAGTAATAATATTATTTTAATTATTAAGCAGCAAAGACTATTGCATTCAACGAGGGGGTTTGTTGGGATTTTATCGAAAAACAAATACATTGCGCGAGTGGCGCACCCAAGGAAGGATGGAGTGGGGGTGTCATGGGGCTTGAGCTTCCCCCATAAGCCAATAATACATATTAAACTAGTGGTGATTAAACAGCACGTACTTTCTCGCCCGTATTTTGACGCAAAATTACGGGAAAAGTACTCAAATTTTCGAAAAATTGTCACGATTTTATTTCAAAATCTATCTTTAAGAAACAGATTTTATTAATGGAATAATCTCTATCTTTAATATTTTAGTTGCAGGAATGCTCTGAAAAAAATGAACGTTTACAGTTCTCAAAAAATTAGGCCTTTTACCGATCATGAGACCTGCACTATTCTCTTAACGTTCTTAACCAACAAAACAAAATTAATAAAAAACGATGGAGTTATTTCTTTGAAAATTTGGAAAATGATCCAGGGACTTCGTGTGAACCTCCAAAATTAAAACATCGGTTTCATATTCAAGGGGCCGCAACATCAGCCAGATCGAAAGTGGAATATCAATTTTGGAGAAAAATGACTGAATAGATTAGCCGATATTGTTGATCACTGACAGAGAGACGAATGGGCAGACTGATGTTTCGCCGTCCGATTTTTCCGTATCTAAGAGACACAAAACATGGATTCTGGCTACACCACGGATATAGGATTTTTTCCTAATTTATCTGGATTTATCCACTTTTACATTACCAGGGTCTTGTAATAAGAATTTTTCGGTCGAAAATTCCCAGTTTTTGAATAGCATTACCTAACTTTCTCTCGACTCTGTAGCGAGAAAGTAAAAATAACTTTTACTCGTTTATATACTAAAGAAAGTCATTCAATGCAAGGTGCGGCTCATATTGTCTCTACCAATGATTACCGTTGGAGGTTACAAATCTTCAAAGAAACATGATATGAAAATGGCATGTGGGACCTTTCAAATTGATGTCGATTACATGAAAAGACTAGATTTCAGTTCAATGGTGTTTCCTCACCATTGATACACATTTTGTTCACTTATTATTGAGACGGGGACTTTCTAATTAATATTTTTTAAGTTTTATAAATTTTGAAAGCATTTAAAATAAATTCAAATAATTTATTACGGGATTAGTTTCAATTCATTGATTATTACATGACGAAAATGAATGAAAAACAAAATAAAACATGAGAACAGAATTTACTGTTGCATTTCTCTTGTTCGTCATCTCTATTAAATTTGCTTCTATTGTTTTTAATAACGTTTTGGTTAAAAATTACTGATTTATTTACAATATTGTCATTTTAATTTTTATGTACATCTAATTTAAATATTTGAATTGATCATAGAATCCACCATTGTCGATATTAACATACGGAGAAAATTCGCTAAATGTAACTGGATTCTTGCCTGAAGTCTGGGAAATTGCTGAAAAAATAATAAATTTTACGTGAGTTTTCTATTTTCCACTTTATGCACTTTTAGAAGTTAAACCGCGATTAAATATATCTTCACATTTTCTGCCGGAACAGAACACTGTACATTCCAACTCGGGATAAAGTTTTTGGAGCAGTTGTAGGAAACGGATCATGGTCTGGAATGATGGGAGCTCTACTGCGCAATGAAACAGATGCTGCACTGGGTTTAACAGCAACTCTACAGAGAAGCTACTTTGTGGATTTCTGCCTTCCAATTATCTTCACAAGGTAAGCGTTTCTCTGCAGAAACACTAAGATTTTCTGTCGTAATTATATACTTAGATATAATACCTTTAAAGAAGAACATGATTTTCAAAGACGATTTCTACACTTAGTAAAAGGAAACTAGTTGTGCTCAACATCACATACTTTCTCGCATTCTTGGTAATGATACGTAGGTTATACCGTGCCTTCTCACCTATTAGCATTTCCACCATCACCCAGAGAAAGTAAAAGATATAATTCAAAATTTATCCAAAAATCACTAATTTTTTGATAGCATATGTACATGAAATAATTTAAAATCCAATGTTGAAAAATAGATTGCATTTTGAAAGAAATCTCTAATTTCGGTTTTAAGGTTGAAAGTCAGTTTCGAAAAAAGTTTGTTACTAAATAATTAAAAGTTGCGAGGAAAATACTAAAATTTTCAAAAAAGTGTAATTAAAATAAAGATCTTAAATTGACGATAAGATAGCATTATTTATAAATTCGCCAGCTTCAGTATTGAGGATAAAAGACAAATTCGAAAAAATGAAACTTCAGCAACTTTAAAATTTCCAGAGTTCTAAAAGGAATTGAACATGAGAATCTTAAAACTTTATAAAATTGCAATTTTGAAAATTCTAAGATTTCAATGAAAATAGGACAGATATCATTTTTATCGTCTACTATATTTGTTTATAAAAGAAAGAACATGTCAACACTAATACAACAGCTCCTCGCATTTAATTATAAAGACAAATTGATACGAAAATTCATCATACTACTCGTAGAAATGAATCGACAATCGATCAAGCTTCAATACGTTGAAATGTGACTGGATCAGGCGAAACTTACGTTCGTCATTGTGACCTGAAATTGACCATTGTAATACCTGACGGCATTACATTACGTTTAAGTTTACATTGTGAATGAGGCCTTACTCCGTGATCTTGGCGTACCGAATGGAAGAGTATCAGATCATATCAGGGCAAGAAAATACTCCACCCTCCCATATATTAGTGGAAGATACTAAGATGCATCGTTAACCCGAGATCAACCGCTTTGGTGTGTGTTTTACCTGTGCCAGTATTTTTGTATCGCAAGTATATTCAATAAGCAGTGATTCGGTCAAATTTTTAAGTCAGAATGTTCAGTTATGGTATTAAATTTGCAAGAAAATTTGCAAAAACAAGTTGAAGCATTAGCAAGAAAACTAAGAGGACTTTTCTTGTAGTACATTTAATACTGTAAATTCTGTTTTCAGCATGTTAGTAAAAGATCTATAGGTTGTGTGCAAGCAATTTAATTTATTATTTAGCCGACTGATATATTTATCATTGAAGAACAGTGTTATGGATGCAGTGATTATTTGTCTGCTTTCTGCAGTATTTTGTTTTCTACTTCCCCTCACACATACATTTTCTTGAGAAAATCGTGATATGATATGTTATCTCTACACAGCTGTGAAGAGTTAAAAAATGTTCTCCGTGTGTAAGATCATACCACAGCAAGAGCAAGCAGACCAAAACTATTTTGAAGTGTGCTAAGAAAAAATGCAAAACATTGCAGGAATCAGATTGCATAGGTTCATTAATGTAATTTATTGCAATTATAGAATGTATATTTAATAATTCGTAGGCAACAATTGTGAAATTAGTAGGTTCGGCATACGATTGATCAGAGCTGCTACATCACCTCATGTTGTATTGTTTATATTAAACATATAAAATCCTCTCCCAAATTATTTCAGTAATGTAGATGAATTTCGTGGCTCTCACACGCAACCAATATTTATAAATGAGATATCTAAAGAAAGAGTATTTCATGAAAAGGTGGAGAATTGCACTTTTTTATTTTTTAAAAAAAAGAAGGATTTGTTGAAAAAGAAGGCATCTAAATATTCATGACAAATGCAACCCGTAACATCCTGGCAGAATGTTTAAAGTGTATTTAGTATAATAACTCCTACACGAGGTGTTCGAGCGACTTAAAATCTGGAATTTTGGGGCCAAAGCCTTACAGAAACGTTCTTTGCGTCGTAATCCATAGTTATTCTTGGACATTCTATTAAATTTTGCTGGCCTGGCGCTTCTCGATACAATCTCACCTATTCGGAGACGTTCATAATCTGCAACTGTATGTAAAATTAAACTTTTTTCTTGATATTCTAGGTGATTGAATTGCACGGGCGTACCTCTCAGTTTGGTAATAAAGTTAAATACTATTCAAAAGAGTAGGGTAGTAATTGCCCGATGTTGTATTTTTGCATTGTTAAGTTTACGTAACTTTCTCAAGAGTACAAACCTTTTCTTATAGTTTTATGACTCTCCAGAAAAGCGAAAATATAACTGTCAAGGAAGATTGTATGATTACTTCAAATAATTTTTTTAAGGAAGTGTTGTGAATTGTTCCAAGTCCATTCGTCTATAATACTGAATAAATATTTATTCAAAATTTGTTTTCAAACATCGATTTCATTTTTATTTTTATTTGATATTCTACAAATATATTGAAAGTTACCTTCATACATTTTTTAAACCAATTAACACGTTTCATTAACAACTTTTCCTCTTAATATGGAAATGGAAGATAGGGAAGAGGGTGGAATTTCAGGAGAGGTTCTCGCACGGGTTAGTGTACATTCTCCTCCATTCGAGAGAAAAAATGAATTAGAAAATTAGAGCCAGTTTTGAGAAAAGTTTGAAAATGACGGCGATTTATTTAAAGTTCTTTAATTAAAATATCCACTTCGAATTCAAAGGACTGCCTTTATTGGCCAGATCGATTGGAGAACATAAAATTTGCTAAAAAGTCTGTTAACGGTTGAGGCGTTAGTGTTGTTCACAATTATGGATGCACAGACAGACCGACAGATATGTTTTCAAGAAAAAAAGAAGGAAAAAACCCAATACTTTTCTAGAATGAGGGACCACCCAAAAGTGTATTTCCGACAAATTCTCGACACCAATATTTTGGAGCATTAACTTTCTCTTTTCTACATTCAGCTTGAATTTGTTATTTTTCAGAAGTGTAATATTTTACATTATAGCATAGGGATGACATTTTATACATCTCCGGCAGCAGCAGTCATCGACTCATCAGTAGGCATCCCTCAGTCATCGACTTTTCGCTTCTTCAGTAGGGCTGCGCTCCTGAGCGTCTGGCACACAGGATTGGCATGCGACCTGAAAAAGCTGGACATGCCCTAAATATCGACATTTGGCTCGCTGACCCGAAATATTTTTTCTTTGTTTCTGACAAATTTCCTGAATTCTTTCTTTCTCGCAACGGAGTGGAGATAAAGTTATGTAATGCTGCGCGAATTTTCGGGAGAAAAACTCAGCCATCCAAATGTTGACACAAACATTCGGTAGAAACAATAACTTGACGCAGATTACAGGGCCCTGGTAACAAAAAAATTGATAAATTCGGATGCTAAATTTAGAAAAAATCCCCTATCACGTGGTGTAGCTAGAATCCATGTATGGTGCTCCTTGGTACCGAAAAGTCGAATGACAGCAAAACGTCTGTATGTCTGTAAACAACACTAGTGGTTAAACCTTTCAACCAATTTCCTCCAAAATTGATATTTCCCAATTGATCTGACTGATGTTGCGGCCCCTCGAATTTGAAACCGATATTTCAATTTTGGGAGGTACTTTACATGAAGCCCCCTTAAATTAAAAAAATGGCACTATCGTTTCTGATTAAATATTTTTGTTGGATAGTGTGAAGGACGTTTAAAATACTGGTGTAGGTCACACACAAGTTTGTTGAAAACCCTATTTTGTCGAAATATGCAAAAGTTCAAACTTTTTCGGCACCTTTCTACAAAAAAATATTAAAGATAGAGATTTTTTTCTTAATGAAATCTGTTCCTTAAAGATAAGTTTTAAAATAAGGTCATGCACACTTTTTCTAAAATTTGAGTATTTTTCGCGTAATTTTGCGTCAAAATACGGGCGAGAAAGTACGTGTACTGTTCCGACATTAGTCTGCTATAGGAATCCCCCGATTTTATCTCGTGGTCTGGTTTCCCTTCACATTCACGTCCTAGTTAACCCCCTTTCACTATTGGCTACCTCAGAAGGCATAGCTCGATTGCATCGTGTTTTGGAGCGAGAAGTGCCAGTGTTTTGGACGGGACGGGGTATACAATATAATTAAGTTTCCATCAAACGGGATGCAAACGGACTCTGATTTTTTGGGAGACAGGTAAAAGACTCAGGAAACAACTGCGAGATGCAATCGCGTTCGTGCCTGCGGGATGCTAGCGACCAGAGCAATCAACCACAATGACTCCAGACTGAATTCGTCTCAACTGTAGGAGGTATTGCTATATGCAAACAACGAGACGCCAATCAGAGGACCTCTGGTCAAAGTCGCTTCAGAGACCGGAAATGGTAGCTCTGAGTTAACTCAGCTGGTGCAATGCTGTCGAATTTATGACTTCCACGAATAGATTTTCCCCGAAATGGAAACGACTCTCTTTGCATGCAATGTTCACTTTCTCGCTGCCGCTTAAGCAATAGAGAAAAGTTACGTATGTAATACTGCGCGAACTAGTGGTGTTAAACAGCAGGTACTTTCTCGTCCGTATTTTCACACAAAATAACGCGAAAGGTACTCAAATTTTCTAAAAATTGAACATGACCATATTTCAAAATCTATCTTTCATGAACAGATATAATTAATGGAAAAAATATATCTTTAATATTTTAATTGTAAGATGACGTCGAAAAAATTGGAACTTTTGCAATTCTCGAAAAATCAGAATTTTCAACTATTATGAGACCTGCACCATTCGCTTAAACGTCCACATTATCCAACAACAAAATGTAATCAAAAACGATAGATCCATTTTTTTAAATTTGGAAAACGTCTCAGGTACTAGTGATTTCAAATATAAGGAGCCGCGACATCAGTCAGATCACTTGGGGAATATAAATTTGAAGAAAATCGGCTGAAGGGTTTACTCGCTAGCGTTGTTCACAGACGGACAGAAAATATTAAGGATAGAGATTTTTTCCTCAATAAAATCTGTTCCTTAGAGACATATTTTGAAATAGGTTCATGTTCAGTTTTTCTAAAAATTGAGTACTTTTCGCGTAATTTTGCGTGAAAACATGGGCGAGAAAGTACGTGCTGTTTTAGCACCAATAGTTAGTTTGGCCTCCGAATTATGTGAGAAACTTAAGAGTCATTTGCGGCTCGGGAGTCGAGTTGCATTGATTGTCACTGAACCTGCGTAGCCGAACTTCGTAACCAAGCTCTGTGAACTCGCGGGAATTAAGATGCTCGAGATACCGCGGGCCCTTGGAGGGATGACCGTGTGGGAAACTCGAATACTAACGGTTCTGTGCCCGTGTCGTAATAGGATAAAAACCAGAGACTTACGACTTGACGTATGGCTGACTTGGATACAAAAAGGACTACTCTTTGTTCAACGCCAAAAAGGCTTGTTGTTATGCTAGGTGCTAAATCCATTGTCCTTGATCCGGGCACGCTCCTGGCACCTTCGAAACACTTTCTAGTTCACTCTCTGCAACAAATAACGCACAATGTACAGTGTATTGCTCTCGCTCACTATGACTTTTGCCAGTGGGAATAATGATGTCCCGGACTGATGTGGTTAAGCCCGAAGGTGTGAGGACGTTGTTAAAAGTTGGCATTTTGAATAAAATCGAAGTCAGTTTGTTTTACACGTTCTCTGACTAACGGATTTTCTTTAAAAAATCCAACATATCTGGTGTACATACATACTCATGAATGAACAATCACTATGTGTTACTAGCTCCTCGCGCGTTTGACTGGTGATGGGCTGTCATTTCGAAGTGTCCAATCCCACGGTACTAGCACCGTAGGAAGGATTATCTAATCCGCCTTATCGCCTTTGAGGTCTTCATTCTGTCACTTTATTTCTAGGACAACGTTCTTCTAAGCCAACAACTTGACGTTCAAAGCGTTATGTGGAGTAATCCTCCGTTAAACTGTGTATTATAGTATTAGAAGTCTGTAGTCCGTAAGTCATGAAGAGGACCGCCAGACAACATCGCGTAGGCGCCTCTCTCACGCGCTCCTGCATCACTACCCAACGGCCAGAATTGGAAAGGAATTAGGATAGAGCTTGAGTTTAGGACACTTCACAGGGGTTGGACCCTGTGAAGCATGCAAACTCGTTTTGTCGTAACAAATTTTACATGAGGTTCTGCGGGATTCGAACTCGGACCTCTTTGGTAAACGGCAAGTGACTTCGCATGTTACCCTAGGTATGAGACTAAGTATGTCGTAGAAAAAGTATAAGAAGGAAATATTTGTGATCGGTACTGGTTACTATTTGTGATAGGTACTGCACTATTCCAAGCTTTACTTGATCCACCCAGAGATATGGGAGGATAAATAGGTGTGAAAAGAAAGGATTTATATTTAAGGCCAAGGAATTAGTTGCCTCTTACAGTAGGAGGGAGAGTTCCCACGATGCTATTCTATTAAATTCGTTGGACAACATATAGGTTCTAAATAACATAAAATACATGTCACTTTGGATATATTAATATCACATAATATATTAATATCATATTATAATATCGCATAATGTTACCTTTGAATTTAAAAAAATGCACAAATGTAATTCAAATAGATTTATAATGTAAGTAAATGTGTGTTGCTTTAGCATGACCAGTTTATTTAATGCATTGCTTAACATTGACTTGGATATTTTAATAATAGTATTGATTTGTAAAAGATTAATTTGGGGAATAGATTTGAAGAAAACCTTTCTTTCATTTATGTCTGCATCAGCTCCTTTGGTTTCAAACAATCAATGATATTCTCTCATAATTTTGTTTTTCAATCTGCTATGTTCAAAAAAGTTCTGCATTCTATCTGTTCATTTAAAAAAAAGTGTTCATCAGCCTTATTATCACTTTTGCTTTTGCTTGTGATTTTAAGATATCAACTCAGATTTAATTGTTTATTCCAAAGGTTGTTTTTTTTCTTGGTACGATCACAGTTTGCAAAGTTATATTTACTTGTTGGTGTATGTGTTTTGTTAGTTATAGAGTATACATTCGAGACTATGGAAATGTGACTGCTCCTTGGCAAAATTTCATATTGCCATTTACTCGATCGTTGTGGATTGGAATCCTCATATGTTTTGTAATAAGTGCAATGATATTATCAGTGAGTGAGTACGTACACAAGATGAATGAAACTGTCAAATCCTCATTCCCTTTGGTTATGAATGAATCTCTTTTTGGAATATTTGCAGTATTTTTCTGCCAACAAGGTGAGAATCAGGTATTTTTGTTTTATTTGATGTAGTACCAAATTGATCTATATCCTTTTATATTGTTTGTGGTAGTGGTAATGATGATAAAAATCTTAAAGCGTATTTTCAGTTTTTGAAATAAAAATCTGTAATATTCAGCTTGCATTTTAGTCTTCTTTTAATGAAGTTGACATATTAGTATATTATACATTAAGATTGTATTATAAAACGCCAAGATTTATTGATATATTAAACACTAAGATTGTATAATCAGGGAGTTGTTTGTTGCAGCTAATGTTCCTGAATCAAAATATGCTACAAGTCGCATTGTGGTTTTCTCTATGTTTCTGACTTCTATTATCCTTTTCGGAGCTTACTCTGGTGCATTAGTCTCACACTTAACAGTGAAACGTTCTCGAAATAGTTTTACTTCCATTCATGATCTCATTGAAGAAGGATCTTACACAATGGCTGTCATTTCTAGTTCAGCAATGCTATCTCAGTTTACAGTAAGTTACTTCTCTCCAGTTATAAATTTGTGAGTTGTTTTTTAAAGGAATGTTAAAAAGTTTAACATTGTCACTTGTTGAATGAAACTGAAAATGTGATTAAATACAAATAATGTAGCAATCACTCATTTAATATTATTAATGGTTTGAAAATTCATTCATTGTGGCATGGCTTGTTACATATTATTTATGGTACATTTGTTATTATTAACTTTGTAAAGGCTTATTAGAAAAACAAACAGCCATATGACCAGAATGCACTTACTTTCTCACAATATGTAGAAGGTGCAAACATAAACAGCACCAGTATTAAATTATTTAAGGGGGGAGGCACAATACAGGAAATATGCTGTAATTGGGGGCCCCTTGAGCTGAGGGTGTTACTTGAGCCAATTTGAAAGGAATATTTTGATTGCTGATTTTACTTACTTTTTGTGACCTTAATTAAACCTAACCTGTACTGATGTTGATTCTCATATAAATGCTATTACAGAAGAAATCCCTAAAGTGTGAAATAAACATACACTGCAAATAGAGGAGCTTTAATAAGATGTGTATATCATTGTGAACCCTGTCTTTAATGAGAACAGTAAGAAACTGGAGACAATACAGTTTTATGCTGTTGTACTTGGAAGTAAACCTAGGGAAGAAAAAGTAAGACTAAGCTTTTTTGAAAGGTTTAAAATCATTAGTATATGATTATGTGTTCCCTATTGTACGTGATGAGATAGAAGTAGAACTTAAAAACATTTTTGCTCCTGTACAACCTCTTAAAGTTTGTAGAGGTCACTACACATTTCTTTATGAAATTAAAAATTAGTAATAATTTTTAAGTTTAATTTAAAGATAAACAACTGCACTTCACTGCTTAAATAAACTTAGTAATAAGAATAATGCATTAAGTTATGATTTTAATTTTTTAAACTAGGATAATTAATATTATATGATATTAGCAATTATGTATTCTTATCCTAACCATGTGTATGTTTTTTGTTACCCCAAATCAAAACAAATTAAGAGGCACATTAATTTTACATACTGGATTAAGTTATCCCATTTGCGGGGTTTCTCGAGTCACCCTATTTATTTTTAATATTTCATTATATATAAAATATTGTTGAATGTTTCTAAATCATATGTATGAACTAGAATAGTAGATCCAAGGAATGGGTCTAGTATTACTATGGAAATTAATGAAACTAGTGTTATTAGTTCTTCAAAGGCTGATGTTGAAATCATAAAAATGGCTCGAGTAACCCTGATTACAGTAGAGCAGATGACCCATTCACCAAACAATATTTAAGAAGTGGGCATTGACACCCAAGCATGCGTATACAGAATATTCAAGAAAAAGTGCTCCAATACAGAGAGGTAAAGTGGATCAAAGGAAAGTGTTCATCTATGAAACCTGGATCTAAAAGACCAGGCCTAGCTGCAAAACTGTCTGTATCTCTTTGAGGTTAGTATGCAAGTGCTCACACCATTCATAAGGGTTGTCACTATTTCAGCCTAAAAGGAGCACAGCAGCACTCATGGTAATAAACGTCTCAACACTAGTCCTTTAGTCACCGAATTGCAGCTTGTTTTAGGAAGAAACCACAAGGGGGGAAGGGGAGCTTTCTTCTTTGTAGAACCCAGAAACCCAAAATTATTTTCCAAATTTTACTAAATATATTCAAAACAAAATTCCACATACTCATCTCATTATGTTCTAACAGAATATTCCCAGTAAGCATTTTGAAAGGAATTCATATTCTTGAAAATGTTTCATTTTTCTTGAATTAATTTTTGCAGGCAAACTGAAATACCTCAAGTTCCTCTTTCATTCAGAAGTGCTAGTATATAGTTCATTCATTTTTTGCAAGATCTATGTTTTTCTAACATTTTCATTACCTTACACCACACTTTTTTTTAGAATGAAAGTTTCTTCAGCAAGCAAAAGTTAAGATCTGAAGATTTTCCTCATGATTACACTGCAGGATTTCATCGTGTTTGTAAGAAGAAGTTTGCGTTTATTGCTCCTCATGTGATAACCCACATTTATACCAGAAATGCAGAGTGCAAAGTCCTCCACTTGCCACATCATTATACTTCTGCAAACATGGGGGCAACCTTACGCAAAAGGAGCCCATACCTGAACTTGGTGAATTATATGTACGTTTGTATTATAAATTTTTTTATTTTCTGCTTAAGAATTACAACTTAAAAAAGGTGACAATGGAATCCAACACTTTTTGGTTAAGGTTTTATTTAATTTTTATTATCGTTGGGTGCAATACATTCAAAAATGTTTTATTATCTGTACCTAAGAATGTGTTCATTTTCATGTGTCATATCTATTTTTCAGCCTCGTCAAACTTCATTCAGTAGGAATCCTAAAGAGATTGCAGAATAACTATTGGAACACAAATTTTCTGGATGAAAAAGTCAGCTTTTCAACTTTCCATCTGCAGCAATTTTCATGTCCCTTACTTATCTTCTTAGGAGGAATAATACTGAGCTTTTTACTTCTTTTGGTGGAGATATGCATGCATAAAAACTACAACAAAAATCGCAGGGATGAATTACAATATTATCAACATAATTAATTTAATTAATATATACAATTCAGTTTATATTAAATAATAAGGTGCACAAATTAAATCATTAATTAAATGCACGATTGCAATTATTTGATACTCTTATTAATCATTTGAAAAACAAATGGTCTAAATTCAATTTTTGATATTTTTTCTTTATTAACTAGCAAATTAAATAGAAAAAAAATTACAAGGTGCAATATTTAAATTGTAAACATACCCATGGCCTTTATTAAAATTTTTAAAAAATTATGTTTTCATAAGTTTATTTAAATTAATAAAAGTTACATTTATATGTAAAAAATTGATTTTTGTCTGTTTTGCAAAAACGTTTCAGCCTATAATTTGATATGGACAAAATGTTTTACACTTAACCAACAAAACGAGAGAAAGACAATTGTCGGAATGATATTAAAAAACCCTACCTCTATTCTTCTTTCTCACACTTTAAAGTGGAATATAAGTGTGCAGTCTTTCATATTTTCATGAATATCTCAAAATTGTGGGAAATCTGCCAATGGGGGTCCGAAATTATCAAAGCCTCATGAAGAAACCCTATCTCGATAAGGTTTTTGTCTAGTTTCCCTGATCCATTGAACAAATGCTGAGATGGCCACTTGTTTTGCTTCTGGATGTAAATGTAGCTTCACTATGCGCATGTTATGTTGAACTCTCCTTTTGCTTGTAACGGTAGTAATAGAGATAAAGGTGAGTTACTTTTTTGCTAGCAATGCAGAAAAATCATATCTGCAATTCATTTACTGATGCAAATAATTTTTCTGTAACTTGGGAACAAAAATGTCTAATTTTTTTCAAATATTGCTAATCTTGCACTATTTAAAATTTATTTTTATTTATTTACTTTAAACTTTTACTCATCTTTCAATTATTTATAGTTAAAATGACAGGAAGAGATTTTTGAACTCAAGAAAACGTGCGCAAATGACCTACTCCCCCATACACCACATAGTTTTTACTGTTTTCTTGACAAAATAAATCTTAATCTAAAGTTCCCTAATAAATAAGTTTGGTATATTGTAACAATGCAATTGAAGGTCATAATTGGAAATTAATTTTGATAGGTAAGGCCAGGGCGGAAGCAGGCAGCGGAGATGGTTGGCCCCCCATTTTGGAATAAAGATAGAAATACCTCCCTTTTTTTGCGTAACACATAAATGTGAGTAATAAATCTCTGGGCAATGCCAGGTCATTTCAACTATTTATTTATTTATTATTATTATATTCTCGTATTTAAAACACATGAACATAGCACTGACACAGGTTAAGAAATGCGCGTTAACACAATGCTCGTAAGCACGGGCCTTAAAGGTTTTCATTTGGAGAGAAATTTGAACTTCCTACTATTAACTGGGTGTATAGTAAAAACACTTAGTTTTAAATCACATGCGTTAACACACAAGTCTGAATTTATGCAAGAAAAAAAAAATGCTGTTTTTTGAATTGGAGATTTTGAAAATCCATTAAATAATTTTTGGGAAATATGTTTCTCAAAAATTGGTAGAATAAAAATATTTGCAAAATATGTAATGAAAAATTTGAATATTTTCATAAGATTGCTATAATCACAATTTTGAGAGATGTACTTAGACAAGTAATATGAAATTACCTACATATGAATCCAAACTTTACTCATGAGAAAGGATGAGGTGGAGATGTTCCTTTATGATCTATTCAGAATTCCTTCCAATTTCAGTTAAAGACAACATTTATAGAGATCATGAAGTCACAATTTGACACAATCCTAGAGAATACACACCAACGTTCCCATTAACCTCAAAGGTCTTAATTACACAATCAGCCTACATTCATTTCCAAAAGAGATAGGATTTTTCCCCTCAGAGAAATAAATTACCAACATGAAGTTAATAAATAATGTTAACTTTATTCACACATTATCACAGATTTATAATTTTTGTTCAGATGTACAGATTTATAATTCTTGCAATAATACATTTTAACTATAAGCATCACTGGGGGGAAAAAAAAAGAAAAGAAAAGAAAAAAAAATAATACATCAGTCTTGGAGAACTAAAAAGAAGTGAGTTTCGTATTTTGGTACTTTAGTACCAAGACAGAATATGGTATATGCAAATGATCCATCTTGAGTTGTTACATTCAGAATCAGAAAGAATCAAATAGATAAATCCTGGCAAATAAATTGATGTAGCTTTCAATTTTCTTGTACCATCTTCATTCCCTCGTTATTCAACTAGTGAATTCAAAAACAGTTCAGAAAATGAGAAACACAAACAAAAATTCTTGTACAGTATAGAAACTTTTATAATTAGGCCAATGTTACTACACCTTTTTTTTTAATAAGGCACCAAACGCTTTTAAACAATGCTCTTTATTAAAAAAACTGTCCACCTTCCAAGTCTTTCTTCGAAACACACTTTTCAACATTGTCAAGTGAATTCTTGCTGAATTGTTCGTAACACCTACTTTAGTTTTATTTGCATCTTTTTTGAAATTAAACAAAATTTACACATCTAAATCATCATCTGGGTCTTCATCATCCCAATCATCAGCTGCATCAGGTTCATAAAAGACCTTCCCTCCTCCTGATTGCCCTTTGGGTCTCCCTTGTCTAGAATGATAAAAAAAAAAACAACATAATTCACAAATCATTGAAAGCTCTTTATTGAGAGCTTATGCGGCACAAGATATACATTTGTGTGTATGAATATTTCTTTTAGGACAAGAAGAAAAAAAAGACGATATTTGAGGAAGTAAAGAACACAACTACATCAACTGTAAAAATAAACTATATTTCAGGAGGCTCAATTAATCAATTACTATCTTTAAATAAGATCAGAATTTTGACCATCATATTCTAATCTTTTATTGTAATTTAGGGCTTTTGGAAAAAGAAACACATTCACTTGCTACTGTACATATTGACTCTGAAGCAACTGGCTAAGTGACAAAAATGAAAATCATTTGCTTTTTCATATCTGATATTACATTGGATTTAAGCTGCTCAAAAAATTGACTGCCTCAACTGGGAATTGAGCCTCTATCATCCGGGATAGGCCTGTAATCATTCTTACATATTCATCTTATCACTATCTTTACATTTGACACAATAAAAGAGGGTAGGAAAAAGAACTTTTAATTTAAATAAGATTGAGATTAAAATACCTTGTATAAGGAAGAATCAACTGACTCCTTGCTTCCTCCTCCTGTGGGTTCAGAGTAAGTTTAAAAGTAGTCAAGTTTTGCACAGCCACAGTGGGATCCACTTCTTCTGAAGCTTCCAACTGTTGATTTTTCTTCTCTCTGCTCAAAACTGAATAGTCTTTTTCGATTCTATATTCTTCTACCTGTCAACAATATTACCATTGTTCATTTACTATCTAAATGAGAAAGTAGAAAAATTTTAGCAAGAAAGCCAAGCCAAATGATTAATTGATTAGTGATTCTGATCGCATCAACTGCTAAGGACATTACTTCCATAAGTGTAATGGATATTTCATTGTGGGGGGTGGCGGTGATCTTCTGGTGGATGGGAAGATCTGGCACTGAACTACGTGGGCTTGCCGGAATTTTCCCTTCACCAGATATCTCCCAACATTGTGGCTCCACCCCAGCTGGGACGAGCTCTAAGCTCTTGGTAGTCTCCTGACATGTGTGGTAGTGTAGAGCATATGAGTGTGTGTAAGGAAAGGAAAGGAAAAAGAAGAAAATATCACATGTCTGTGGCCCGTTTCATAGAGTATTGCTCAGGCATTAGTCTGGGGCCTGTTTCACAAGTTCAAAGTTACACATGACAAGTTACTAGTATTAGTAACCACAAGTACTCATACGTTCTGTTTCACAAAGATTTTATAACTTGTCGATTCAAGTGACATAATATTCAAGCATTATTTCTGCTCTTTTGAATATTATTCTTCAAATGCATTCAAGAACCATCGAGTTCAACATGTTCATAAAAAACACAAATTTTTCTTAAATACCTGTTTAACAATTTTTCCTCCTGCTTTCCGATGTGTGACACGGAGCAAGCCCCATCCAGATGAATTAGGAGATGAGGCCAACTGTATCTGAAACACTGTAGTAGCAAGATGTCGCATCTGCTCAAGGGTATCCCATCTCTCAGGTACTGCATCTTCATGAATAACAGCAACAAGTTGGTTCAGTTTTTCCTCTGTAACAGATCATAAAATCCACTTAAGAGGCTGATTTTTTCACCCATGACACATATGTCATTTCAAACTTTTGATATTAAATTAAAAATACATTACAAAAAGACCACAAGAATACAAGATAAATTCTTCACACAGAAAGCATATTTACCATCTTTTCGTGCTATTGACAAGAGAGCATGTAAATCACGATAACACTTGTTTAACCCATGTCTGAAAAGAACTGGGGTCAAGGAATCTATGCACACTACAGATGGTTTCCCATCCCCATGATTAAGAAGTTCTTGAACAACTCCTAGAAGTCCTTTTTCTTGATAAACACCTTGAAGATCATTCTCTTCATTAACTGAAAGCATTATATTCCAATCAGTTCCATACTAATTATATAACCAATATAAGGTCTAGACTGTTTAAAGTAATTAAAAAAAATATCAGTAAGTAGTAGTTTATAGCAAAAAGAAAGACAATCTTTACTTTCAGATCACAAATTCCAATGCAAACATCCAGCTAAAATGTAATTCTCTACAAAAATGTCCAAAATGAGTATGTAGTCCAAAAGAAATATTGGCTCAAACATAAAAATGCCCATGACTTATTATAATAAATGATTATCACATGAGAAACACAATTTTGAGGTCATAATAAGGTGTATGCATACTTGAAAAACCCCACCTGACGAACACTCTAAACCTCCAAGGATTGTCCAACATTATCTTCTAATTTTTAGTAATGACTTCAACAATGTTATTTTAAATTACAATTTTTAGGACATTTTACTAGTTATGTTTTTATAAACTCTATTTATGATTTAAAAACTGCTCATTAAAAATGTTTACTTTTCTGAGAACAGACAAAATATTAAATTATTGCCTAACACAACATTGGATGAGCAAATCTTCCTCAATAATTATGAGTTTACTGAACCACAATGCCCAGGAAATCAATTTCTGGTTTTATTAAACTATTCTGCTAACTTTAGTGGATGTCGTAAAGTTTTTCAATAACACCATACTTAAAAAATATTTTAATAATTCAATCAATGACAAATGATAAGGAGTTGTTTCTAGTAGCACCTTATAGGATAGTGCTAGTGTGCCATGACACCACCAACGAAAAGGAAGGAAAATAAATTTTTCACCACAAATGTGTGCATGAAATATCGTTTCTTCAAAATATTTTTCTTTATAGTAATTTATTTGAATGAACGCTTAGTCATTTGATGTTCTATTGATACTCTCTTCAAATATCTAGGGCATGCTATCTGTCAGCTTCCTCCTAAACCTCTGAGCCACCTACTGATTGGCACCATCTCTGCCCATTTAATGCAGTAAAAAGAATGCTATGATGGTTTATATGCATCTCTTATGGATGAGACGGTGCCAAAATTGAACTGGCATAGTAGTCCACATTCTGTTCCATAGAGTGCACTAATGGCACTATCTTCATTGAGCAGACTATCTCTTGCTCAGGATGACCCCGATACCCTAATATTTTGTATGACTTTTCATGCATTTTGCACACGAAGAGGCAGCATACACCTTGAGCATAAGGCTTTCCCTCTTCTCCCTGAACCCTTCTTTAATAAACTCAGGAAGCTGTGACTTCTTGAGATTACTGTGGGTGCTCAGGCTTTGTATCAGTGCAGCTTGTGGGTGCTCAGGCTGAGTATTTTGTTTTGTTTTTTTTGTTCTTATTATTTTTAGTTTCTTTTCAGTTTAATTTTCATTATAACTTAATAATCACGGTCACTGTAAAATTAAATTTTGTTGCCCACAAATTTTACTTAATAGATTACTAAACCAGTTTTGAAATATCACATTATTGTTTAAAAACATAAATGGTTTTTAATGGATGTTTTATTAACATTAAGGTTTTAATTTTGATCGTTGATAATCAGTAACATTGATGCCGCATCACTAACTGGTACTGCCAACAGAATTCCGTACGAGCTGCCACTGGTTGTTTTAGTAGAAACTATTTCAATCAAATTAATTTCAAAGCATACCTGAAAAAAATTTTCCATAAAATTTCCCATTTTATAAGAGAAAAGCAAGAACAAAAGAAAATGACTGAAAATATAAGTGTAAAGCGAACATGTTTTCAAATACAATTAGTATCTTGAAAATCATTTTGTAGATCATTTACATTCCCTGCACACTTTTTCCAAAGACCTCGAGAAACAAATACTGAATGTTCCAAAAATTGGCATGATTTGAAGCATTAAGAACATTACACAATGCATATTCGTATTACATTTGAAGATATTTTTTCAAGAATTGTAAAAGATATCTATATTTTTAAAGTAGATGGATTTTATCATAGCTTAGCAAGTGTGGCAACATATTAGTATGTGTTTTTTGCACAAAAATGTGATGACAATTTTGCTTTTGCCAAATTCATTGTTGTTTTTTGTGAACTGTAGGCTGAAGCTTTCCCACAGCACATATGAAGCGAGTCAACTCTTCTATAGAACTATTTTGGTATGAAAAGGTGTCAAAAGTTTTGCAAGAACAGTGATCCAATTGAAGTCAAGTGTATCCTTAAACAGTATGATTCATTTTAATATTAATTTATTTTAAATAAATGTCTTCATTGATGAAATGATCCATTTAAAAAAATGTTCCAAAAAAATAAATAGATTTCAACGTGTCATACTCAAAATATAAAGCAAGGAAAGATACAAATTGCACATTACGCACCTTAAATAAGATGTAGTTACGTCAAATGTAAATAAAACCCAGTGGGATAAGTCAAGGTCAATGAAGAATACATTGGTTAATTTGAAATTCTTGCAGGGATGTTCACAGAACTGGCAATATTTTTCAAGTCTCAATATTTGCTTCCTTGTCCAAACATTGAACACGTTTATTTCTTAATTGACTTATTTTTAGTTTTAAACACCTCTCAGTTTAGAAAATGTATAAAATCAATAATCACAAGAATTCTTATTTGAAGCTCATCTAAAAGCTTACACTGTACAGCTTTCAGTATATCTACAATCACGTTTAAAGTTAATGTAATGTATTACCATTATTCCAACCTCTGTGATCTGAAAAACAGTCATGAATATTCACATTTGAGTTTAATATTCGGGTCCATTTCTCAACAGGATTCTCAAAGCATATAACATGCACTTTTAATTGTTGTAGAGAAGCATTATGAATGAAGGTTTGAAATAAATACGATGAAGGCTGATCAGCATTATCTGTAACAAATAAGTTTTATTAAAAACTACAAATTCCCGACATCTTAAAGTAAACATTGTATAATATTAAATATAGTTTTAAAAGGGGGTAAGGAATGGAATAATGACTTAATGATGACCAATGTACAATGTTAACTAACCTTCAATTATTATCAAGGAACTAGGCGTTTTTCTTGAAGTAAAGCTAGACAACATTTTAAATATCTTTTAAACAATTACTTTTTTTAAACCTTTGTTGGAGACGAAATACATTTTAGCACTTCTGGCTGGCTCCCAGATTCATGCTTGGTTTATGCTATAGCTGGACGTCACATTTGTAGGGTCATATCGACTCCGATTGGCCGAAGTCAATTTGAGATCTAAATCTCATTGGATATTATCACTCGTCTACCCGCGTTTCGCTTGCACGCACGTTTTGCTGGATGCCTTCTGGTCCTGGTCGCCTTATCATGAGCACGTCATTTCGCGTCCTATTTGTCAATTGTTTCATCTACTTCATTCTTTCGAGCAGCGCAGGATCAGAATGGTATCATCAATGGTATCGTGGTCCTCGATATTGTACAGCTCTATGAGCTCAGAAGCAACCTGGGAAGGGAAGGAAGGTACGAGAAGAGACTTCAAGAATGTGTGAAAGTGGAAAGCAGATGCAAAAGTGTTCGGCTTCGACGAAGCAGATGGATGTGATGTGCAAAGTGACATGTGTGTGTATTTTGCGGAAAATTGGTTACCTTCTTTACATTGTTCTAATCTTATCCTTTACAGTGCAGTGCGTTAGTAGCAGTCACATAACTGGGACGTGGAATACAAAGGATTTTTTTAAATTTCTAGTGAAATTTGGTGTTCAGAAAACTAATATGCGTAATCAAAGGGACTCGTCTGGATATATTTTTGGTAACATAACATCTAAAGTAAATTCTAGTAAATATGTGACATTTGCGGTTTTAGATAGAGGTTATTTCTTGGAATATTATGGAAATAGAACTGTCGTAAACAAGGAGAAGGCTTGCAGGCTTATGTTCCACAAAATTGAATCGGCTGCGTATGACATTCGGTGTAACGTTGGTGGCGAAATAGACTTTTTGAGAAAAGTTCCTTGTCCTGAAAACAGTTTATGTGTTGATGAAGATACACCATGGAATGTAGTAAAGGGACACCAGTTGACATTTGTGGTGGAAGACGTCAATCAACCAAGGTTTGATCATGATGTGAAAATCATACATTTAAATATTAATGCTCAAAATTTGAAAGTAGTGTTAGTGAAAATTGCAACTTTAAAAAGTAGATTTTTTACTTGACATTAATGACATTTGTGACATAAAATTAACTTTTCATATTATATTTAAGGAAAGTAAAGAAACATTGTTGTAGGGAGCTATAAGAGGTATTTCTGCAATTGATTCTAGGTTTTGGTATATAAGCTTGGTGGCTTGTTATCAAGACCCTGAGACTTGTAATTGGCATCATTACACTGAAGAAATTGAATTGAATTACGATCTATGGCTTGTTAATGGAAATCCGAATGTCAGCAGTTTTAATCCTTTAGTTTACCAATTTTCTTTTGACAAGCAGGTGGGTATTATAGTTTTGAATATTCACTGTGGTAGAATTTAGAAAAGGATGACCTAATTCGTAGCAATTTTTTTATTTAATTAGTGTGACTCTTGTTAAAAAATTATTTTAACAAAACTCTTTAAACATTGTGGATTAAATTAAATTGAACATATGAGGAATTCTTAATGTTTTAATTTTTTCTTAAATGAATGCTTCCAACTCGTGAAAACGAGGCTGTTTTAATTAGCAATACTATAATTTACTTCTTTTTTTCTCTCTATTATATTGTGTTTGGAATAATGTGTGTTTTCAGCTATACAGCAGGATGTTTTGTACTTGTGTTATATCAGGTTTCTTTTGTAAATTTCTTCTTAATGTACAAAATATGAGACTTAATGATTTGCTGTGTATATCTTGCAGGATACAGTAGAGCTGTATGTGGTGTTCTTTTTGGTGTACATGGTGCTAGTGCCTCTGCAAGTTTATGCGGCCATGAGGCAACATCATCCAGTGACACGCCTCTTCACTGCCAGCCTCATTCTAGAGTTTCTTGCCCTTAGCCTCATTCTTATCCACGTCCTAAAATTTTCACTTGATGGAGAAGGCGTCCAGCAGCTTGCAGTGGCTGGTGATATCCTAGACATCCTCTCAAGGGTAAGTATTGCTCCCTATAAAGTTTTCTTTTTCTTTTAGTATTTACTTGTTCACAGATTTCCATGCAGCTGAGTGTTTTCTTCAGCAAAGATGTAATAACTGTGAATGAGTGCTTAATCATAAAAAAAAAGAAATCGCTGCTTTCTGCAATTTTTTACCGTTGTGTGTATTTCTTTCCATGGCACAATAAACAGCATGCTCAGATATTTTTTATACAACTTGTTTTACAGAATTTTTACCAAAAGCAGTTTTTATGAATTCACATGAAATGCAACTTAGTTCTGCAGAAATCTGAAGGAACAGGGTACAACTCTTTTGTGGAAACGCCTCAATGATTTGACCATCTTTTGTTTGCTTGACTGCTTGTAATTTCTTGTTGGATTTTCTGTGGTGGGCTGTGACTGGAGAGAAAGTGCTTTCACTTCTGGGAGTGAAATCTGATTGCTAGTGTTATGTAACAAAACAGTCCAGTTCACTAGTGTGCTTGAGACCAAACTGTTGTTTAAATGTGTTTGATGATAGATATTTAATATAATTTTTTTTTATAGCCTTTCAAGCCTTATGACTTTCAAGTATTTTCCAAGTCATTTTATTAAAATTCAGTTTTTAGATTTTGAAGTTCTTTAAATTAAAGTAAATAATAGTACACTTCTAAACATTAAAACAGTGGTTTATTTTCGAAAATTGGTCACTTTCAAATTAAATAATAATTTTTTGACACACAATTTAAATTAAATAAAATACTATATTATAAACAGCTGAGATGAAAAACTTAAAACAATACGTTGAATCAAGAAATCATGAAAGTGAATGTTAGCCTTAAAAGAAAATTTGTGTTTTACAGTTTATTTTAATTATTTGTATTCAGAGTTGGGCAAAATACTTAAAAATAGCATTTCAGATACAAAATTCAAAATACTTCGTTGAAAGTATTTTAGATTAAGAATACAAAATAGTATTTTAACATACTTTTAAAATAACAAAATACAACCAATAGCGATCCAGTTTCACAATATATTTCTCAAAACTTGGTTGTGGTTTACAATTATATACAATTGGACATGTCAACACTCCTAGTTTTTCAAGCATTACATCATCAATTTTCTTCTTGTAATTGTAATTGATATGGGGCTCATTCCATTAATAATGAATTTTGTAACAAGATTAAAGTTTTGTTTGAGTTCATTTACTTTTTCCTGCATATTGAAGAAACACATGTGAAGCTTGTTGTTTCAATTTTTTTGGCATTGGTATCACTCTTCTCAGCACTGTTCATTTGCCACCTGTGTGAAATTGACCTTGTGGACCATTCATTTTTATAGTTCTCAAATGCACTTATCACATCAAGATGAATTCTCTAAAATGTGTAAAGAAATTTCCAGTTCCCTAGTAAAAAGAATGACCAGTAAAATTATGTATGTTGTACACTGTGTGCATTTTAAAAAGTATAATATTACTGCTTTTTATTTTTAGCTTTAAGTGTCTTTTAATATTTGTGGTCATAGTTTAGAAACTGCTTATTATATCTGAGTGGCAGGCTTACAAATTTCAAATGACGCTTGCACCTGTCTTTTCAATAACAATGAAATATGTTCTATTTAGAATAACACACATTTATCATTTTCCTCACTCATCATAAATTAGCTCTTTACACAGTGCAAGTACATGCTTTTAGTGAGTGCACACAACCACCTTCCAGACAGGTGGTGATGTGACAATATAATATAATGTCTGTAAAGTGGTCTTCAAAATCCATTAATCGATTTATCCAAGTGTGTCTGGAAATAATTTTCTTTGATTAACCAAAATTTTGAGTTGTCAAAAACATTCTTTTAAATATTGTTGTAAAACTGCTTCAGAATATCAAAAATTCATGTTATCAATGTTTGTGTTTCCCAAGTTTGACTGTATAAGTAAATTCATATTTTCAATGGCGTATCAATGAAAAGTATTATTTTTGTATTTTAGAAATACAAAATACTATCAGAAAGTATTTTCAATACTTTCCAACTCTGTAACAATTTATAATTAATAGTATCATTCTCGTTCAGCTAATACTTGTGATGGTATGACTGTATTTGTTACCTTTTGCAATTTCATGTGAAATTTAAAAATATTTTCTATTGACTTATGAAATGAAGTAAACATGAATTAATAATAAAATAATTGCATAAGTACGTGATATCAGATTTTTTATGCTGCCTTTTATCATCTTTTGATTAAGAAATACACAAACCTTTTTGGTTTCATGGTTGGCAAACAATCTTATAATACCTTTGCATAAGTTCTTTAAATGTGAAATATATTTATAAATTGTAGTAGTGGGTCTATATTAACTTAAAAATTAAGTTAATATAACTTAATGACAAGCCTCATAACTAGTTATTTAAAGAAGAGTAATAAAATATCATTTACTACTCTCTTAATAATTAATTATCATCTTCGAATTTAAAATGAAAAAGTTCCTGTCTGTGACTTAATATTTTGTAATGTTTGCAATTTTGGCTTTCCTGTTCTATACTAACACAGACTTTGACTTACACACACAGTGTTACACTAACACACCTTGGGAGTCCAATCAGGAGTTTAGAGCTTGTCCCAGCTCGAGCGTTGCTCTGCTTGGGGGGGGGAGGGAGGACGAACATCTCCCTCAATCAGACAGGTATATCAGTGATGATCTCACTATCCAGTTGGAGGCACATCACCACCTCCTGTGATAAAACGTTCACTTCATTGAAGGGACTAATGATCATAGCAGTTGATGTGTCAATAGCAGTTACTCTGTTTACTGGGCACAGTTACTCTTTTCCCTGCCTCTTGTTGTTTGCAGCTGTAGGGATGGGTGTTAGACTAATCAACTAACAGCAATTATCAGGAGCGGGGTCAAGAGGTGTTGTCTGGCCAACTTGAGGTTTTCTTACAGAGAAGCATTAACTTTCCATCAAATGTAATTTTTATTAGTTACAGTTTTTGTAGTTATTTACGTTATATGCAAATCAGATATTGATTTTTTTGTTGCTGGTGCAAAAATATTATCCCTTGATAATGTTATTGCTCTTATCAATAAGTTAAAACAAGTTACAGATAAAAAGTACAAACAATCAGAAAGCAAAGTAATTCATGGGTCTTTCAATTCCTTCCCCTCTGTTGGTGCACTTCTGTGCAGATGTATAGGATTCTGTAATGTTGCAGGTTTAGTAAAATAAAATTAATTAGTTGTCTTTTAATATAATTTAAACCATGTTCTTCTAGTATGTTGTGCAGTTCTTTCTGCATCCTTGATGTTATGTATTCTTTTAATAGACTTATGGTGTTGCAATCTGTGTTGTTGCAGGCTTCGTTTATGCTCTTGCTCTTGCTCCTGGCAAAAGGGTGGGCGGTGACACGGCAGGAATTTACTTGGAAGCCCCTGGTGTTTGGTATTTGGTTCCTGTATGGTGTTGTCCACATTCTTCTTTATGTCTGGAACATGGTACTGAGTTTTGAAGTTTTTTTTATTTTTTTGTAAAAATATTTTTGTTTTTAGAATCTTTTACATGAAAATATTATTAAAAAATTGATAATGTCAATTCAATTACTATTGTTTACTATTCCTGTTATATTTCATCATTATTGGAATAGCTCAAAAAATTATCCTTAATTTTTTGATGAGAACACTGTTTTAAGAAATATTGGGCCCCGGTTGTTTGTAAAATTTTACAAAAATTTATCTGTTTTCATTGTAATCTGGCAAATAGACTGTTCATTTGAAGACATATTATGTTAAAAAACAAAGTGATGAACTAAGGATTATTATGTACATATATAATTAAATATCCAAACAGAACGTCCCAACAGAAATATCTTAGATTCTGATATGTTCTCTCAAACTGAATAAAATGTGCATTCAGAGAATAAAAGGCTCTGAAAACATCTGGATTTGCAGACGTGTTGAAGGGTAATGAAAAGCTCACTTTAGTTGAAGTTTTTTATGTATGAAAGTAAATATTATTAGAAAGTATAAGTCCTAATAGGATATAATTTATTTGAAGAAATGTGCTTGAAAAATTCAGTCATTTTTGGACAAAACTCCTTTGCCTTTTCAGTTATAATTTCATTCACACTTTTTTTTAAACTCTCTTTAACACTTCCAGTGTCATTGCCAGAGTAAAATAAAACAATGTTAACAATGTAATTTCTGTTTCTTCTCATTTGTTTTCGCTGATATTGTCAAACAATTCAGCTCTTAACTTGGAATCCTTTCTAGACAACATTTCACTTGGAAATGTAGAGGTGTGTTAGAATTTCCCAGTAGAACGTACTTATCGCTGGAAATGTCATGTTCAGTATGTTCCAAAAATTATTGCACTAGTTATATCTGCTCAACAAATGAAAGCACTGAGTTCAAATACATCTAATTTCATGAATTATTTGCTACAGAAACTATTGGGAGTGCACAGAATACCCTTTTTCTCTTGTTAGTGTCACTGGTTTTTACATCATTTAAAGATCTAAAATTGGGGTATAAATTGGATTGAGAAAGAAATCGCTGGCTTTAATATTGGAGGGGTGGAACACGTGTGAAAAAAGACTTTAAAAGTTTGGAATTTTAAAAATTTCATAGGTTTTAATAAAAATTGGAACTCTACCATGTTACATTTTTTTATATATATTATTTTTCTTCTATTTCATGGAACAATAAAGTTAGAAAAAAAATTTTTTTTTGATTGAAAAATGTCAGACTTCGTGTAAAGTACCTACAAAAATTGCAATGTATCAATGATCTCTGGAATCACACAACGAGATCTTGGTCTTGATTAAGTTTCCAGCTCAAAAGTATCTAATCTGGCATAATTGTGTGTCACGTCCATTCATAAAAACATCCTGATTTTTTGGGTACAAAACTGCATTGGTGCAGGTAGTGAGGATATCAATGTTAACCATCTTTGAATCAGCATTAATAGACCTTAATCCTAATATGGGTGAAAGATTGTAACTCAGAAGAACCTTAAACTTAGAAATAATGTTATGATAAAAAATTCAAGGTTTTATTGTTGAGGTGATTCTGATTCTTTTCCTCCCCATACTATAGAATAGGGAGGGAAAGTTAAAATATCAGATGCATTGCATACCGATACAGGATACTCCTGATTATACACAAATTGATTTGTGCTTTTTAAATGTATGAATCCATTGGAAGTAAAGCTGCATTATGGTTTTATTCTTTTGGATGCCTCATTTTGTTGGTGAGACTTATTCTAATTTTCTTTTTTCAGACTGAAGTTGATATTATAGAAGATATTGATGAGTATCAGACATGGCCTGGTTGGCTTATCATAATCTTCAGAACTCTTATCATGGTGTGGTTTCTGTTTGAGTTGAGAAATACCATGATGTATGAACATAATACTCAGAAGCTGAATTTCTTCCTACATTTTGGAGCCTCTGCTCTTGTGTGGTTCATTTATTTGCCAATCATAGCCCTTATTGCCCTCCAAGTGTCTGCATTATGGCGCTTCAAATTATTGCTTGGTGAGTTACTTATAGAAAATCTTTAGAATGTATATATTTTCAAATGTTGCCTGATGTATACATTTTACTAAATGTATGATGTTTTGAAAACTGTTCTGACTTCCTCATCAGACTACATTTGAAAATGTATGCATTTTACTAAATGTATACATTTTCAGTTGTGGCCTGTTGAGGTAGACAGAACTGTTTCTGAAACATCAACAACATTCATTAAATGAAGTCGTAGGCTTCCGCGACCAGAGTCATGTGGGTGATCTGGGCTGTCCGGGTGACGCCGCGTCGAAGGCTGAGTTGCCGACGTTTCGACCATCCTGTCGTGGTCTTCCTCAGGGCTGGTATGCTGCATACCAGCCCTGAGGAAGACCACGACAGGATGGTCGAAACGTCGGCAACTCAGCCTTCGACGTGGCGTCACCCGGACAGCCCAGATCAACCAACATTCATTAAATAAAATTATGTAATAAATTAGGATGTGATGTTTTTTAATTGTGGTTGTACAAAATTTAAGAAAGGGACTGAAAAAAAATATCGAAAACTTTATATATCTAGGGCCAACAAAATCAATACTTATTTCTTATTATGTAATAGTGGTTGTAGTTTTGTATGCAACTGGAACTTCATAGACTAAGAGGTTCTAGGATCGAATCCTGATGGTTGCAGATTTTTAAAACTGAGTTAAATAGTTGGATGGAAGTGAACCAGTGCCTGAACGAGGTTTGCTTCTCAGATAATCTCAAGTTTTTAAAAATAAGTTTTATCTGGATATCAGGGCAGTACCTTAAAACAAACTATTTTGTCTCCATTATCTCTCCTCTCCTCTTCCACTTTGAAACTAGGAAAATCTTCTAGAGGCACGAGTTTTTCTTGTCCATTAACAATAACAGCAATAAACACTAAATTAAAGGGATATTTTGTTTACTTGATGAGTTCAATTGTTGGTGATCAAAAATTGTTCAGTTTTTTATAGAAAGTTGACTTTTCTTGGCAAAATGTTTTTAAAATGAAATTGGCAAATTTTTGCAACTAATGGGAAATGTTTGTGTAATACATTAAACATTAAACATTATACAACAAAAGTCCATTTTTCAAAGTAAAAAAATAAAAAAAGGATCTAGTGAGTTTTCATTAATTTCCATAAAATTATTAGGTATCACAATTTTTAATTCTGATCACTCCAAAAATTCTAACAAAAGGGGGGATGGGGAGATTCTAACATGGAGGGGAACAGAAGTTCAGTTCTTTATTCAACCCCCCCCCAGGTGCTTCAGCACGAGACCAGATGAGAACAGTCGTCTCTTTGGGATATAAATTACAGATGTACAAGTATTGCTCCGGGAATAAAATTTGCTAGCCATTCTCTTCTATTTGAAAACTTACTCCGCATTTATTACTGCATATTCGTCAATTCACATTCCCATGTCTCTTGAATGACACAAGCATCTTATAAAAATAAGTTTTGTTTTCATCTTTCTGTGTGCGTTTCATAAAATCATCACTGAAATAACGTTTTCAGATGTAATTTTCTTTTCTTTTTGCTTTTTCATTTCTTAAATGTATATAATATTCTTTGCTACAGACTTTCTCTGATGTACGTTCAGAAAATTGAAAAAAATTTGAAAAATCAAACCAAATTTAAATGTAAAATGGAATTAAGAGTAATTGATTTTAATGTTAAGTTGTAACTCATATTAAATGAAAACTTTTGTTGCATTACAGGGATAACATACTCAGCTGATTGCCTTGCATATTGTGTTATGACCCATCTGCTGTGGCCTACAAGGAGTGAACAGTATTTCTTATTGGCAGAAGAGACTGATCTTGGAGACGAGTTAGATGAGTTTAATGAGGCTCCACATGTTATCAATAGTTATACAGCTTTATCTTCAGGTCATCGTAGAATTCCCTCAGAACCTCCAGATCTCACAAAGATTATTGCATAGCGTAGCTATATTTATATTGATTTGGTATGGGGTAAAGAGGGAGTGAAAAATCAAATCCGCTGTTTACCTTCTTTGTTATGTAGATACTAGAGTTATTTCAAATCTTTATTTTGTTAAGAATTTTTTTCTAGAAATGCATTTTGTGCTTATGACGATCTTTAGTGCCAAATGTTGTCTGCTTTTTGAAGTTCTTTTACTTCTGTTACCTTTTTTAAAATGGTAAACCCAGGGACAAAGAAATGGTCGTAAATATTGTGTTACTTAATTTTCATATAATTTATTGAAATTTATTGCATAGTTTTACCAGTATGACTATATCCTCTATCCTGTTGTGTTAGGGGGGAGATGGGACATATTAACATCGATTCTTACAAAAAATAAATACCGTACTATTATGTGGAATCTAACAAGGAACTAAAAATTAACAAATGAGTGAAGTAAAGATCTCATTTTTTCCCCTTTCTTGTAATGATGATAAAAATGTATTATCTCTTGCCGGTTATACATTACTGTTACCATTTTGCTTCCTTTGCATGAAAGCACAATGATTACCTTTTCAATTATGGCACTGAATGATCAAAATAATATATTTTATTTTTGCAGTATTTTTCTATAGTGTTCACTTTTATATCTTTCCTAAAGACGAATGATGCATGTTAGAGAGCAGTTTACTTCTCTGAAATTCTTTGCTTGTTAGCTTGTATTCACAAATTGAATATTTTGTGACTCCAGTATTACTCACGAACATATCATAAGATGTTTGGTACTTCAAGGCACATATTTTTAGCATTGAGTTGTTACTTGATGAAATCATTATACCACTCAGATGGTTTAGTCAGTTCCTAGAAACGAAACAAGGTATGTATACTATGTATGTGAACACTAGATTAATCTCACTTCACTTAGGTTATGATTTGCTAATATTTTCTGTTAATGAGTCACTGAACAAAGTTCTCTTACCTACATTAAATGGTTTTTCACTCCTCTCATGTTCTATTTTCATTTATTTTTTATGTATTTGATGGTGCTATCAACATCTTTCTCCTTACATTTTCATTTCTACTATTTCTGAGAAATATAGAAGTGAAGTATTATCAGGCAGTTTTCATGTACTACACCTTTGATGTTTTATGTGTATTTCAGTTATGTATGATTATATATGTACATATGTATTTAGTATTTTATTTGCTAAAATTGCTGATTTTTAGCATAAAAATCATTATTATTATTATTATTATTATTATTATTATTATTATTATTATTATTATTATTATCATTATCATATCATATTATTATTATTATTATTATTATTATTATACAAAGTTTCTTTTTTGTCTAATTGATTCCTTTTTAACCTCTCTTTCCGTTCTTTGAACTCACAGCATCATTTATTTGCTTGTATTTTTCTGAATAATCTCAGAGTTCTGTCTTCTAGAAATTCCTTTGTGCTTTTATCACACAAGTACCTAATCATTTCCTCAAGTTTTCTTCCTTTTATTATTGAGATAATAATTTTCTTGTTATGTGGTTATTTACTTCTTTTCACATTGTCTTTGGAAACCTCTGTCATAAACTTTGAGAGATGTTACCAGTATCACAAGTATTTGATATTTTTCCCTTTGAAATGTCTCACAAACTCCAATAGATGTCTCTGAAGCAGTACCCAACAAAAGTGGAGGCTACTTATGGCAAAGGTTATTCTTTTTTTTTGGTATCTTGATGTAAAATCATTCACTTACACTACTTTTTACCTTTTTGATTACTATTTCCTGCTGTCATTAAAGTTTGGAGTGCAAAAAGAACCTAGATATATTGCTTGATATAAAAAAAAACAGGTATGGTACAAAAGGGGGAACACATAATTAGGAACGAAATAGGTTTGTTGAGTTGTAATATACAAATTAAATTTTTTAATTACCTCTGTTTTACACAATTATTTCTGTGTTTTGTAATACAGTTATGTGTACCTGCAACTGTACTTGTTTTATAATACAAGCATAGGGGTCGTGAGATGTGTCACATCAGATGTTCTGCTTCCAGCTCATTCTGAGAAGTAATTTTATTTAAAGTTATTAAATTAGAGTGGATATGTGCAATTTATAACTTTTGTGAGCATTAATTAAATAATTAACAATAATAATTTAGAATGATGCAGTAAAATTCATTATATATTACAGAAATGTTTCCTCTTTAGGTTAAGCTTATGGCGATTTCATTACATGCCAATGTTATCCACTTTTTGGTTCAACAAAACTAAAATGCATTTTGATGTTTTGATTAAGAAGTGTATGTTATATATTTGCTTTTGAAAATGGAAAAATAAATTTAGGAATTTATTGATGAAAGGTTTTGTCTGTTGGAGAGAGATGAAAAGAATAATAGTGCTTCCAATAGACCGCTCAGACTTCCAAATTTTGAGTAAGCAATGACTGCTAAAAGAATGAAAGTGGTGAATTTTCAGAAAGCACTTTGCTCCGAAGCATACATTTCATTTAGTTTTCACAGCCTTCTGGAAGTCACCGCAGTGTTAGTTCCAATTCCAGATGTAGTGAATTTTATAGGAAAAACAATCTGCGAAATTGTTGGTGTGTACATGAAAATTAATGTTCTGTGGTTTGTGATCTTTAGAAATAGCATTTAAAATATTTCAGATAAATCATGCTCGTGAAACTGCTTTTATCCTCTACTTGTAGTGATCAAATGTACTTGATAAATACTACTTTAATTAATGTTTGACTGCAATATTGTCATTTTGTGTGTAGAGAAGTATTTGTTCATTTTCTGATTTAAGATAGAATGTTTGACATGTGGTAAAAGGGTAATGTGATAAAATCATACATTATTTTCTGATTATCTTGTTACCTCTGTATTGATGGTTGCTAAACTGTTGTTTGTAAAGCCATAAAAGACTGAGTAAAATGTCTGTTATTTTCGAGATGTGTTTTTTTTTATGTTCAATGAATTGGAGTAAATGGAAGAGAACCACCAAGTTATATGGAAAAGGAGACTGAGTAAATCATATTTTACTAAATTAGTGATTATTAATTTGTATAGTACATTTTGTTGTATCATTTGGTATTTTGTGAACACAAGAGCTTACTTGCCACCTTGTCTCCAGATGGAAAGTGATGCAATAAAAACATTTTATATTTAGTTTCTAATTCTTGCCATTGATTTAAAGGATTACAAGTAGAACAGAGAGCATATATTACATTTTAAGAAAATACTTTTTAAGTCTTTGTTGTTCTACTTCAAGATTTTCTTGCAGGATCTAAGAGTTCAGCATTTGTTATTAGATTGATAGCTTGTTTGCACAAGGGAATTGGGAATCGCTTTGATATCTTTGTCCAATTTGCTATTCAAGTGCCAAGTTTATAATAATGCCACATTCTCATTGAAAAGAAAGCTGAAATGTGTGTGAAAAAGAAATGCCACTTTCAAGAGTATGTATGTGTGTATATCCAACTTCCTAGTTTTCTTATTAAGTCTTAATAGAATCTTCCAGAATAATTGTCATGTAGTTGTGCTACCAGTCAGCCATTTGATTTTGCTCGCAGTAAATATACAGACATGCTTCCTAGTGAATGCACTGCTATGTATACCGTATCATACCATTATAGATATTTTATTTTGTTATTGAATTGAATCATTCTGTTAGAAATAACAGGATGGGAAAAATGCAATACTTTGAAGATGTGAATGGTTTGTAAACAATAGTTCATTTACTCAGAAAATAAATTTGACAGTCCTGAAAAGCTATTCTTAGCAAAAAAGTGATAAATGTTGCTGGATAAGTTCTTTCCTGATGTATATTTTCTCATGGAATTAGTGACAACTTGAAAATTTAGTGAAATAGGTACTTAATTGTTTCTTTAGTCCTTGATAAAAGGCACCTCTAAATATACATATATTAACTTTCTTTTGAATATGAAGAAAATGTAGAGTAAGCTGGAGGAAGAAAATATTTTATTTTATTTATAATTGTGTTAGATGAAAATTGGGGAATACTTTAATTTTGTACAGTTTATTAATCATTTTAAAAAAAAGCAGATTGCTCAATGTTGATAAATCAATTAAAATTATTACAAAATTTGCTATTGTAATACTCGTTTTATTTGTATGTAGTTAAAATAGTGTTCAATCTTTTTGCAAATTGTATATAACAAATAAAGAATCTATGATCTAACATTTTAATAATGGACTTGTTTTATTGCAAACTCAACTAATACACTTCTGATATTAATGAGTAGTTTCAGCTCTTGGAAATTCAAAATTTGGTTTATTTTGAAATGTGCGTTAGTTTCGCTTATTGAAAGACTATTTTTATTTTGAGGGAATGCCTAAGTATCAGTCTTGCTTCCACAAATTTTACTTCTCCATCTGATTTTTATTCATTTACTTTTACGTACTTGCTTCCATTTCAGTTTTTTGCTTTGAAATATTACTTTCTTAGAGTTACTAATGCCAGTTTGAAGACTGATATTAAAATGATTTTTCATGTACTTTCTGCTGATCTCCATTAGGTTTTCATGTGGTAGGATATTTAAGTTACGTCATATAACATTTTTGAATATTTTTAATAAGGAAAATGAAATATATATGATGTTACTAACACACAATTATTGTGAACTTGTTTGTTTTGCTTCATTTAATTCTCTCCCATTATGTGATGCTATTTTAATTTCCTCTGACTTGTTCTAGAGAAAATCCTTAAATTTAAAAAGTTCTAAATTGATTTTCTAGTACTAATGTACTTCAATTATCATCCCTTCAAATTGGAGCAGGATCTTTTCATTTTTGAAGACACTTTTGAACGATTATTTGTTTTTAAATGTCTTTAACATGTTTATTTTATCATGGATATTTTTCATGGTGTACAAAAATAAGTAAAACAGAAGATTTGAAATGGTAAATGAAGTCCATTGAAATTGTCCATTGTCCAAATTAGGCACTTATCCAGAGTTATCAAAAAATTGCTTCTCTGTAAATATTTTAAACAAGTGTAAGTAAAGAATAAACAAGTGCCCTTATTGAAGCTAATTTTTTTAAATCTGAGAAAAATTGAGAAACTTTGAACTTTCAGTTGTAACTTACCTTGAGACTCCGATTCTGTAACTAGAAATGTATATCTGGCTTTACGAATACACAATATAGAAGAGTTAATTCTTATATAATTTTTTTTGTGAATGCTAATAGTATATAGTTCAGTAAAATCCTCTAAAGTTACTTCTATTTTTTCCGAGTACCTCCATGCCATAATTTTATTCATATTTCTCAAAGTTGCAAAATTCTTGAGTGATGTGAATGAGTTTTGCAGGATCATTGCATACAAAGATTATTACAAAAGATTATTATTAAAGATCATTACATGCAAAGTTATGTGCATTCTTCATCATAGGAAATCCTGTTTATAGTGTTGAGCTGTAATGCTTGTGTTGTTGTGTTAACCAAATACTATAGAGACAATGCATGACACTTGGCAATATAATGAGAGACACTTGAAGTTAGTGACCCTAATGGTCTGGCGATATAACGAGACACTTAAAGTTAGTGGCCCTAGTGGTCTGACCTGTCATAACCATTGTGATATCATGTACAAAGCATATCAGTTTGAATGATTTGTAGTTTACCTATGATTGTTTACTACGGTTGCTTACGATTGTTGTTGATTTTGCAGAGAGATTCAAAAGTTATTGTATATGTATTGAAATTTGAATTGGTGGCCGATTTTCCAAGTCAAGTTACTAGGTTGGTAGTTTAGCAGTTGTCTCCCATTAAAAGATTCAAAGTGTCCTGTATTGTCTACATAGTATTTGCTTTAATCTCTTAGCTACATTGATGAATGATTCTTAGACCCGATTATCATCACTTTGTTTCATATATGAATACACATATATATTTATTTCATGTTATAGAAAAGGCTTCATTCATGCAAGTACAATTTTGATATAATAGCCAAGGTATGGATGAACAGATTTATTGGCAATGATTTTCAATGGTGCATTTTCTTGAATTGTATGAGAATAGTTCATAAATGAGAGGCTGAATGCAAGAAAACCTTAAGTGAAAGATTGTTGTTTTTGCTCAATTTACTCAAATCAATTTCTTTTAGCAGATAAAATTTCAATTCAGTTAACTTTTCATTGGAATTTACATGATGTCTAAGATTTTCCAGCCAATTAAATAATGATTCAATTACCGAAACAAAATTTGAATTTGTTTTGAAGCAAATTTTTCATATTTTTGAGAGAGAGGGTTGTTATATTCTTTGAAAGAAATCAATAAACATTTCTGAAATCTTATTTTTAAAACATTACTATTACAATAAGTATGAAGTGTGGTCTCTGTTAACAGATTATTTTTAGGAAAATAAAATAAATGTTTTGTTTGTTTATGTAAGTTTACTGGTACACAACAAAGAAAAACCAAAAAGAATGCACAGACAAATTCTGTTCATCTCATTTATTAGTTAAAGTTTTGCTATGCAAACTATAATCAAAATAATATTTCGATTACCTGACTCACAAATTTAAAAGTCATACTATTATAATCACAGTACATTGGTAAGTTAAGATACTACATATAGTTAGATTTTACAATATATACAAATAAACTTACTACAATAATTTCAAATGTCCTGTTATTCTATCGATAACATTAGAATCACCTGGACCTATTCCAATTACTGTAATGCTCCCTGGTGCCACTTGAGTTTTTCCAGCATCCCTTATAACACTAGTTACTATTCCTAAATTTTTGGCTTTTTCTACCAATTGTAAGACCTTGTTGTCTACATCATCTATTCGTAACACTATTTTTGGCTGGCCAAGAAGTTCCCACAAGTGAACTATTTCTGGATTCTTCACAGATGCTTTTTTGTAGCAACATACAGCAGCATGAGCACATTGTGACGCAATTTTGCCTTTCCCCATGGCAAAATTACTCCGTGCTACAATGACTAACTTTGGAGCATTCTTCTGTAAAATCAATTTTGAAGAAAGTGTTAAGTAACGTAACACAACAGGCATTTTCCAAACACCCACTGTAGAAACTACACCAAGTGAAAATCCAGCAAACATCCACGACACTTCGGGGTAACTTGTTTCCATTGTGGACAAAAATGCAGTTTACACTTCAAACACTTGTTCTCTTTCTATAGTCTTCCATACAGTGTCGAAATTCTTTCACGACGTTCTGACATTTTCTCCAGTCTTGAGTTTCGGCAATGCACTCCTGCAACCCATGAATTTGTAAGATTAGTAAGTAGAAGAGAGATTAAGTAATTAATAACATAACACTGAAACACGAACCTGAACTTTGTAATGCAGTTCCATACATCCGGTCTTTTTTAACATTTTTTCCACTGGATCTTCATCTTCATCCGAAACGTGTTCACTGTCCAGTGACTTTTGCATAGCAGTTCAAATTATCTTTTACAGTTGATTTAATTACAAAGGGTAAATGTCGTAACCTGGTCGTAACTGTAAGTTAATTGTGAACATAACCAAACTGAACGCAGCTCTCGTTCATTGGGCTGATGGCAACCCTTGTGTTTTAAGCGTATCTGTTGGAGGCATTGCTTAATTTAAAAACAAGTGAGTGGTCGCGGATGAATTGATTGTACAACGAGAAAACGTGGTGAAGTGTTGATACTTAGTGTATGAAACTATTAAAACATGATTACAATGACTCAGAGACATCGCCCTATCTCCACGATATCTCCTAGGGCAAGATTTTTAGAAGCCATCCCAACTGATGAAGATGATATAAAGGTCTACACGCGTCGTATTTCTTTCCGATCTCGATGTAAAAATATTCTGATTAATCTGGTGCCTTTCGCCATCTGGATTCAACGTTATCCTTGGCGCAAATACATTCTTAAAGATATTATTTCAGGTATCACGGTATCCGTTTTGTTAGTTCCCCAGGGATTGGCTTATGCTCAGCTGGCTGACTGTCCACCAGTTGTGGGCTTGTATATGGGCACATTCCCTTGCCTTATTTATGCGTTCTTGAGTTTTTCAAGACACGTTTCTTATGGCCCAATGGCTTTGATTTGTTTAATGACAGATGCTGTTATTACAGACATTCAGAGTGTTGAGGAATACAAAGATTTGGAAAGGATTGTAATTGGTACAGCTATATCATTCACCGTCGGCCTGTGCTACATTATAATGTTTGTATTTCGAATGGGAATAATATGCTTGCTTTTAACCAAAACATTTATTAGTTCTTTTACAACGGGCGTCTCTGTTCACATATTCACTTCGCAGATGAAAGAACTGTTGGGTATTAAACTGAAGAAGCATTTTGGTGTTCTCGGAATTGTCGAATTTTATGAAGAATTAATAAGTCGCATAAATGAAACTAATATAATGTCTTGTACGATCGGAATCTCTACAATTGTAATTTTGGACCTGTGTGAAACCTTTTTGAAGCCGATATTACTTAAACGAGGAATTATTTTTCCTGCGGAGTTTGTTGTTTTGGTGGTTACAGGTCTCATTTCATACTTATTACGTTTACCCGTTGAGTTCGACATACGAACAGTGGGCGAAGTTCCTAAAGGATTTCCTGAACCAAGTATTCCGAAAATTGGCATTGTACTTGAGGCAAAAGTTCTTCTTCGATGCCTGATCATGTCAGTCGTTGCATATTTTATCACCGAGTCTAACGCCTTCTTCTACGCCGGCATGCGAAGATACAAAGTGGATCCTCAGCAAGACTTCCTCGCACAGGGCGCTGCCACTTTTGTAGGCTCCTTTCTCAGCTGCCTGCCGGTGGCTGGTTCGATTTCCCGCAGCGCTGTTCAGGAGCGCCTCGGAGGTGAAACTCAAATGGCGTCAATCACGGCCGTTGTCATCATGATCCTCGTTCTCTTCTTCATGGCAGATTGGTTATATCCAATTCCCAGGTCTGCGTTGGCAGGAATAACAATCGCGACATTTCTGACCATCTTTAAAAAGTCCTTCGCGGACATTAAAGCCATTTGGTTTCTTTCCCGGCGCGAGTTTTTGGTGTGGGTCCTCACGTTCTCCACGGTGGTGTTCGTGGGCATAGACATCGGCCTCGGATGCGGTCTCATGTTGTCGCTGACGCTCAACGTCGTTCACCGATCCGACCCGCAACTCCATCTGGTGGGCCGCGTGCGAGTCGGAGACGAGGATGTGTACACGGAGCTGAAGCAGGAGGTCGGGGGCGAGGTGCCGGGGGTGAAAATTGTCCAGATCAACGGCGCCGTGGACTCCGTCTCGCGCGACCACGTGCAACGCCGCGTCTACGACCTCACCGGCGTCACCCCCGCCCACGTGGCCGACGGGGGCGAGGAGGAGCCGTCGGACGTGGAGAGCGCGCGCGTCGACGAATTCCTGCTGGTGCCCTTCAAACTGGGCAACCCGCGGCCGGACGACAGCAGCGTGGCGGCGGTGGTGACGGAGAAACTACAATTCATAGTACTGGATGCGACCTACGCCCAGTATGTATACTAATGTTTGTGCTATAATGGCAATCATTTCTTTTTTATCACATCGGCTCAGGTAGATCAGAGCATTACCATTGTCTTTGGAGCGACAGTGATCGTCGAGTTCGAGTCCCGGCGGTGGCAGGATTTTCGACACTAGCTATATAGCTAGGTCGGATTCAGCCGCTGTCTGCAGGAGATTTCTTGCGGACGGCTAGTGGTAGTTTTCCTAGAAAACTGGCCACGGACCGTGCGCAATCTTTCCTTTCTCTTGCTTGTCCTATCTTCTCACCTGAATTACACGCACTTGCATTTATATGCATTGCTCTACCACACCAATAAGAAGACCAATCTGGCGCTTAGAGTTTATCCCGGCTGGGGCGGTACCAAGCTAGGAGACGTACATCAGTGGGAGAGGACACCGACAACCACCTGGAAAAACACTTTACTGTGCTAATGGGACAAGACCACACTATGAAACAAATAAATAACTTCTTTATCGTCTTCTCCTTCTTATTAATCATCATCAGACTTCATCTTTTCCCTTTGCAATACCGCGCGAGTTTTCCTTCCTCTTCCTTGTCCTATAGTCACTCTTTCTTACACACACTACACTACCCCATTTACCGGAAGACCAGATCGTCGCTGGGGGGCGATACTGATAGGAGATACCTGTCTGGAAAACCTCCGTAAGCCGCCGTGTAGTTCAGCGCTGGATCTCGCCAGTCGGCGGAGGGAGAACATCGCCCCCTTCCGCGACAAAATGTGCAGTACACTTACGGGACTAATTATTTTGGCATTTGCATCACCAGTCAATCAATCAATCATGAACATTATGTTTTACTTTTGTAAATCTATGTTTTAGAACAAGGGTATTCAATTTGCTAGGCCTCAAGGGCCACAACTAAAACCTTTAATATTGTTGCGAGCCATGTTTACATTTACTTGGGTAATCCACACCCTTCTTCACCGTACTGTTAATCTCGGCCTTTTTCCCGGCTGCTCTAAAAGAACGGGGTGGGAGGCGGAGGTGGGGGTGAAATCATGCGTTAAATCAGGCCGCACCTTGTATAACGCAGAGAAACACATTAGAATGGTTTTAAATGTCTAAATTTACTAGAAAAAAGTCTTAAGTCTAAACTTATTTTTAATGTAGAGGGCTGTTAACAGAGTTGGTGCGCTTGGCGCACAATGTTATCGCCAGAAATGGATGCAAAGGACTTTCATTTTTGACTTATAACAAGAAGGTGGATTTAGATGACCTAAAACATCGCCACAAATGATCAATAAAGTGCTCTAAAAATGCTTCGAAATGTCCAAAAAAGAAAGAAAAATGACGTAAAAAGTTTGATCAAAACCACTTCAGATGAACAACTCAAGCTGTAGGTCATAT